CCCCAAAACCCCAAAACCCCGCAGTTAATGATTCAGATTTAATTGGAAATCTAGAAAATTTAAGACGATTTAGATCTGTAATTGACGTGACTCAATATAATCTTAATTTAAAACTATTTAAAAGCAACCCTAAAATGGAAACTATTCAAAACAATTTCACCAACCAAAAAAACAACGAACAATACATCTTCTTCAGAAACCAACAAGAAAGCCAAAGATTTGAGAACTTCGCTAAGTTCAATGAAAGCAAGCAACAGCAATATGAAACTAAGAATACCACTACTTTCCAGAGAGAATTCAATGAATGCTTCCCAAGCTAAAACCAGATGATCGGCAAAAGAGTCAAACCCCAAAATTTCGGAGAAGTTTCTGAGACAGATATTTGTGAAGAGAACGACGACGATGGGGAAGGGAAAAAGTATTTCACTAAGAGAGCCAGGTTTAATGAATGTGATATGAACACTACTACTTTTGGCTTCAATGCTGCTGCCCATAATGATACAATCACTCAAACAGCATTTGAATTTAAGACTTTTAAAGACAATAATACTACTTTCATCAATAACTGTGCTGCTGACAACAAAGACATCAATAGCTTTGAAGGTAGCGCATTTACTACACAAACTAACAGCCCCAATCTCACTTATTGCACTTTCAACAGGCAGTTCCAAGCTAATACAAGCAATATCGCTGCTGAGTTTGGTGAAAACAACGGATTCTTCCCTGAATTGTAAGAATATTCTTATATTTAATCGAAAATAGTGATAATAAGACAGAATTTAATAGGAAAAAAAGAGAGACTAAGGAAGCTGAAAAGTAGCAAACTACTTGCATCGGCTGCAAACTCCAATTCCCCAAACTCAAAGTCAATACCTTCTGCCACAATTGTTTCAAGATTTTTAATGAAGTGGCTGAGTTTGTTGATAAGAAAGGAGGAGTGTTTGAATTCACAGATAAAAAATGTGTAATCAAGGTAACTTGCCACAACCAACACATCTTCACCACTGATTATAAACTTAAAGTGTAAGTTCAATCATCTTGGTCTAATAGCATTTTAATAGAGTCAAGAAGTGGTGTCAAGCATGTAAAAATACTGTCAGAGATAAAAGAAAAGACTACTATAGATAGGCTGATAACGAAAGACAAGCTGAGTTTGAAAGAATGCAAAGAGAGATGTTTGAGAGAGCTAGGACTAATAGCAATAGCACTAATCAGGACGATATTGAGGATGAATATGTTAATAATTTTGATGAGGAAACTAAATTTGAGGATAGCAGACAAGAGGAGTTTAAGTTTACTAACGCCGAGGAAAGCCAGAGATTCTTCAACTACATTGTTAACGATAATGTAGCAGAGAATAATGGTACCCAGTTTAGCGAAACTTTCCTTAGAGAAATCGTGGAGTACATCATCTACGAACCTGACTATAGACTTATCCAAATGTTGTAAGTTATTCATAAGTGATTAATATCTTATTGATGTAGTAAGAATATTCAAAAAGATAAGAGAATGCGCGCCTACAGAAGACTTGCCAGGAACATCCACCCCGACAAGAACGCTCATATCCTCGCCAAGGATGCTTTCCAAAAGCTCTTGCGACTTAGTAGTAGTCTGCGGTCGCCGTCCTTACATCCTATACCACATTTCTAAAACACCAACGCCACCAACACAACCACTAACAATACTACTACTACTGATGATGCCTTCAACTACAGACAATTCGATGAGAAATTCTTTAATGACAATGACTTTGAATTCACTTTTGATTTCGATAACATTAATGATGAGGAAGATGAGGATCAAGACTTTGAGGATTACGATTAAATAACTTGTTTGGAATTCGAGAGAGAAAATTTTTTTGAGATGATCAATGTCTTCGGTTGAAACTGAGAATAATGATTGAGATCAAAGAGATTTTAAGCTTTAAGATATTAAGCCAATTTATTAAGAAATTTTAATTACTAAAACCCTTTTTCTTTTTAATTCTATGTAAATTATGAAATTAACTTCTGAAAATAGCTACTAATATTTAAAACAATCAACTTCTTATTAATGTTTGGATCTTCATCAGAAATTGATCATTGTATTTTTATTACTTCCCATCAGTTTTTATCTTTGACCACAGCTGCAATAATAATACCTACTAAAGCTCCAGCAATTAGAATAACCATAAATATGATGAACTTATCTGTCATGTAATTCTTTCCAAAGTACCTAATGTACTTCATGGCTCTCTGCGATGTGCTTTCAATCTAATTCAGTTGTGTGTCTATCTTCATTATACGCTCATTTTATCTCTATAATTCTAATAGCTGCTAATCGGCCAGCTCGTCAATCTAACCTATATTCTTTTATATCCTCTCGAGAGCTTTCTTTGATTCTGCTTGCATGTTAAGGGCTGCGTTTCCAACTACCTATACATCTGCTTATCTATAGTCTATCTTCTCAATGCGGTGATTAGCTTCTTCATCTCTTTCTATATCAATATCGTTCTAAAACTAAATGTTGTTTTTGCGTGCTCTCGAACTGTTTTGATTTTTCTTTCTGCGACTAGACTTTGGACCAACTTAATTCTCTTGATCCACTTCTTAGTCGAAATCCTGCATTTCCGACTCCTCTTATATCCCTTAACCTGACTTTTTCTTCAGTTGATTCATTATTTTATCAATCTGACGCTTTTATTTTAAAAGCTACTCTATAATAAATGTTTGTATTTTTAAATGGTGGTTGGATAGAGATACCTTCAAATTCAGTTTCTCTGTCCTTTGGTAATCTTTTCAAGTCATACTGAGCATTTCTAATGTCATTGTTTACTCTCTCAATGTCTTTTTCAATATTTTCAGTAAGCCTGCTTTTCTCAGATTAATTTGTCTATAACAAGAATTATAAGCACTGAAATATATACACAGTTTTGAAGTCTATCAAAAACCTTCTTAGTCCTATCAATTTTGATCTAAATCACCTCGAGATAGTCATTTATTTCATCAATCACTTGTTTCGCAGCCATTAAATTGTTTAAATTCTATCAAAATTTTCCTCAAATTATAAATATATCAATAATTTAATTTAATTAGAAGTTAGAGATTGAATAGCTGGTCAATTCGATGCTAGGGGTTTTGGGGTTTTGGGGTTTTGGGGTTTTGGGG